CCGTCACTACATGCCCTTTTCACAAAGGCATGTAGTGATAGAACAAGGGGAATGACTTTTTATACTGAAAGAAAATAGATTTAGATTAGACATTAGGAAGAAGTTCTTTACTGTGAGGGTGGTGAGGCACTGGCACAGGCTGCCCAGAGAAGCTGTGGATGCCCCATCTCTGGTCATCTTCAAGGCCAGGCTGGACTGGGCTTGGAGCAACCTGCTCTAGTGGAAGGTGTCACTGCCTGTGACAGGGGTTGGAACTGAATAAACTGGAAGGTCCCTTCCATCACAAACCAGTCTGTGATTCTGTATTACGTGACCACTGTGTACTGTACATGATTTCCACAGTTGATCATTGACTCTAGTTTCTTTCCACTTACACTACCACACATTAGTCCACTCAGTTCTCTTCTCCCATATCTTTGAGCTTCTCCTCTTGTTGTCACTCTGTAACTTTCAGCATCTGGATGCTTACTGGAAGTGAAAATCCTGTTCTTGGAGATGACACTGATAATACTGGATAGAAAAAATCTCAAGATAAGTTTGTACCTTCCAGTTGCTTTTAATCAGCATGGTTTTAAAGCCAGTTTGACCTTAAGAAATCATATCTCCCTTTGCTCCTGGCCATTGGGTTTCCATATTTTGTACTTAAGCTCAGTGCTCCTTCAGTAATGATCCAGTGCCTGCTTGTGAGGCTGCCCTGTCAACAGATCCCTGAAATGATAAGGGTAACCATGCCTTTTTTTTGCCTGTTGTTTTTAAGTCAGATCCTTAGGCAGATTTGGGCCACAGCTCCACCTGACACTTGTTTTTCGTGGCATAATTGGGAGTGTCAAACTTTCACTGGGAGGGAATGGAAGACACAGGCAGGAATGTGAACAAGCTTGATTGGTGAAACCACTGGAAGGTGAAGCTGTAGGAGAGTCAGCAGCTGCCTTCTAGAAAACAAGTGCTGCCTTCTTGCTGTCAACTTCGAAACGTGCACTTGTTATTAATTTAATTGCCCAACAAGAGCAAAATCTGCCTAGCAGTATCTTGTTATGATGCCACAACTGTAGCACTAGAATTTGCCCACTACATCTTACATTTCAGATCCTGGCACATGTTAGCTTGAGAATTCGTATAACTACTTGCTTTAACCAGCTGTGCATCATGCTTGTGATGTTCAAGTTGCAATACAATTGTGGATGGACAATAGCATGTGACCTGCTCAGTAAAGTTACTCTTTGCTTGACCTGCTGTCCCGACCAACAGATGTTTGTGACCAGTTTGTCAATCACTTTTTCTGCTGACATCACTGAGGTACGCCCTGCTCCCATGGTGAAGTAATCATGGCAATTGCAACTAGCACAGTACAAAGTATGAGCCCAGAATTCACACCTTTCCTGTTTTCCCTTTCATTTCAACTCCTCAGTGGGCTACTAACAGTTAAAAAAACCTAGCTACTTTGAAGACTACTGCATTTACTAAAGATAACTTAGAGTCATCAGCAACTGTGAATAGAAATTCTGCCAGATACAGGCTTAAGAATAAACACGTATGTGTTACAAGGTGAATTTACTGCAAGACAAATACAATTATTTATAGACTACAGCTTATGCTTTTGCATCATTACTTCTTCACAGAATGTTTAAAGGATTTAGAGCCTCAACTCTCAGGTTGGATGCCACTGGGACTGGGATGGAGGGAGGAAAGAGCGTCTGTACACAGTGACAACACAAATGACATGACCCACATGTTGCACTGGCCAGTGCCAAATGCAATATGGGGTGTTATAGCCTTCTGAACTCCTGATAGAGCCACATCTGACTCTGTAATATTTTTCAAATACAGGTCAGTACTGTAAGATAAATTGCAGGAAAGAAGGTTATAACACAGTACGTTAGGATCTCCTAGGTGGAGATCTAACAAGCTGAATGGTTCCTGATAACATACCAACTCTCAGTCATGTAGAAGAGATCAACACCAACAAAATCATGGGCTGAAATGTGTCTTTGTGATCCTCTTCATTCAGATTTTGATTTTGTCTATCAGCATTGTATTGGTGTTAAAAAAATATTTAGTAGGCTCAAAATTCAATTATATGCATTCTTAATTTGATTCACACTGAATTTACTAGATTAGGTTCATTAGATAAAGAATCAGAATGGAAGTTAGCAATGAAAAGAAATATTTGTTTGAACTTACACTATTTAACTTGTGCAAACAGCTGAATTTCTAAGCCAGAAAAGTGACTGCCAAATACAAGGAACTTCATAGTGTACCTCATCCTAATAAAACTGAAATCAATCAACAAAATTGAGAATCTTATTCACCTACAAGTGATTACATTTTAATCACTTTAGTAATAAAATTCAGAAAAAGTGGGCAAATCACTAACTTAATCAGCTACTTTTTAAAGTGATTTTCACAAAACTGAAAATAATTATGAGTATTTTGTGGCCTTTGACGAAAGGACCCAAAGGAAATGGAAACTAGTAGTTGCTGATGAACATCCTGTCAGTTAAGCCTTAAAATGCAATTAGGAAAAAAGGCAAATGTAGTTAAAATGCCATACTAGTGTGGTGGGAAGGTGAAAACAATGGTAACAGCCCAAATTAGTGCGTTCTATTGATAAGAAAGGAGAAGACACTATTGCTTTATTAAATAACCTAGGAATTAAAGAAAATTGGTGATGTGAAATTTTTGCCGACAGAAAGAAACAGGGAATTGAATGTGGATATAAGACAAATTCTAACAATGATATTGCTACACTAAAAATGTAAGATTTTTTAACAGTGCTTTAAAAATGTGTTCAATGAATAGACTTGTATTCTGAGAAACAGGTAAATATTATAATGGAGGACAAAGATTAAACAGTTTCATCTAACAGTATACTTGAAGAAAAATTTAAACAGCAGTAGTGAAGCTAGGTAATTTGCATCATTAAGCCAGGATAATTTGTTTACAGGTTTCCAAAAGAGCATTATAGAACCTCTTTCTGATCTCAATTGAGATTATGATTCTCAGTAAATCTGGGAGTTCTAAAGAACAGAAGAAAGCTAATATAGAAAGCTAGGAGAAAACAAAAGGGATGACCCAGGTTAATTACATACCTATTATCTTGATTATGATCCTCAGCAAAATATCCAAGTGTCTCACATAGGTCTAAGTTAATGACTATTTAAGCATAATTGCTACTCATAAAAGATACTTCCAGAAAACAGATCTTGTAATGCAATTGCAGTATCTCTCCTTTAGGCAAATGCTCATTTGATGAAAGAAGCAGTGATATTATAACCCTAAGCTTCAGATAGGCATTTGACTGTTACAGCAAATCATTTTAATTAAAAATTCTAGGAATATAAAAACCGCAGAATGCCATACAGTAAAGTGGACTGTGAATAATTAACAGGTCTCAAAACACAGAAGAAGAACAATCAGTGAACACTAGCGGGGGTGATTCAGTTCCTCTGGGGATCAATTTTGTCTGTCAATCAGTGAACCCTTGTGTGAGTGATTCATTTCCTCTGGGGATCAATCTTGTCCATCTGCTATTCTTTCTTACCAGTGATCTTGAAGAAGGTACACTGATATCACCAAGCCACAACAGCTTAGCGACACAACTGAGGGTGTGGGAAACCATGGAGGCCAAAGTCACTTACAAAGTGACTTGGAGCTCTTGGTAAACAGGGTGCACTTAAAAAAACCTTAAAAAGAATTCTTTATTTATATATGTATTTTATTTGTATCTTAGATATATAGAATCATGGAATCATAGACTGGTTTGGGTTGGAAGGGGCCTTAAAGCTCATCCAGTTCCAGCCCCCCTGCCACAGGCAGGGACACCTTCCACAAGACCGGGTTGCTCCAAGCCCCATCCAACCTGGCCTTGAACACTGCCAGGGATGGGGCAGCAGCAGCTTCTCTGGGCTCACAAGCCTCACAGTAAAACACACTATGTGGAAACATATACATGATGTAGCCTTGTTAAGTAGTTCTTTTGAGCTTTTGGTGTGCCACAGTCAATAGGGCTAAAGTTTTGAAGAGACGCTCACTGACAGCAGAGCAGAAGGGCTCCATCTCCTCAGTTTGAAATGAAGAATGTGAGAGGTCACCGTAGCTTAGCCAGTAAGTATATGTACACACACATATATACGCATACACACATTTGGTCAATGAAAAACTGAACTTGGAGTATTGTGCACAGCTCTGGTGTCCTCAGCATAAAAATGACATGGAACCGTTGGAACAAGTCCAGAGGAGGGCCACGAGAATGATCAGGGGACTGGAGCACCTCCCGTATGAAGACAGACTGAGAAAGTTTGGGCTGTTCAGCCTGGAGAAGGCTGTGCAGAGACCTCAGAGCAGCCTTCCAGTATCTGAAGGGGGCATATAGGGATGCTGGGGAGGGACTCTTCATTAGGGACTGTAGTGATAGGACAAGGGGTAATGGGTTAAAACTTAAACAGGGGAAGTTTAGATTGGGTATAAGGAGTAAGGTCTTTACTGTGAGGGTGGTGAGGCACTGGAATGGGTTGCCCAGGGAAGTTGTGAATGCTCCATCCCTGGCAATGTTCAAGGCCAGGTTAGACAGATCCTTGGGCGGCATGGTTTAGTGTGAGGTGTCCCTGCCCATGGCAGGGGAATGGAACTCGATAATCTTAAGGTCCTTTCCAACCCTACTATTCTATGATTCAGTGATATATATATATAAATGGAGATTCCTGGGGGGAACTGTACTAGCAGTCAGACACGGTCTTGTGGCTAAGAATTAAATCAAGCTGGCTAAAGGTTGTAAATAAACCACTTTCGAAAGAAACCCCCCTGCTAATTTAAGAGAGTGCAGCAGCCCGCTCTCCCGGGCTATGGCACCTGCCTGCCCCTCTTCCGGAGCGTTGGAACAGCCCTTCTGCACAGCCCCAGGTAACGGCCAGAAACGGTCAAAAACGGTCACCAACCGCCCGCCTCACGGCCCCTGCTCCCCGCCCCCGCCACGCGTAGCTCCTCCCGCCGCTGCCCTTTCCGGTGCCTCCTCCCTCCCTCCCTCCGGCGCTGCCACATCCTCCGCTGACATCAGCCCGCGGCGCCATATTGGAGGAGAAGCCGCCTCCGAAAGCTCGGCCGCCGCAGGGGGGGACGCCGGCCCCCGCAGCCTCCGCCTCCCCCCTGCGCCGCTCCCCATGACTCCCCGCGGCCGGCCTCTGTCCCGGTGCGGATAGGGTGGAGGCAGCTGCGGATCCCGTCGCTTCTCCTCTCTTCTTCTCTCCTCTTCCCGAGCTGTCGCCTCTCCCCTCAGCGGGCCTCTGCCCTCCCGCAGCCTTCAGGCATGACTTCCCTGACCCAGCGCAGCTCCGGCCTGGTGCAGCGCCGGACCGAGGCCTCCCGCAGTGCCGCCGCCGATAAGGAGCGGGGAGCGGGGGGCGGTTCGGATGATGAAGGCCGCCGGGATGAGTCCGGCGACGACGAGAAGGGCGACTCCAAGGAAACGCGACTAACCCTCATGGAGGAGGTGCTGCTTCTGGGCCTCAAGGACCGTGAGGTGCGGCTGGGGCCGTCGCGGCGGGGCTGGGGCGGGACGAGGTGAGGGACGCTGGGCAGGCGCTGGCTGAGGAGGCCTGGTGGTGCTGTGAGGAAGCAGGACGGGAACGGGACGGCTGAGGGGACACCGGTTATTTGGGGGCTTATGTAGGGCGTTTAATAGGAAAGGGGAGCCCAAGTGGTGCCGGGGTATGGGTGGGATGGCAGCAAGGGCGCTGCTAGGTGGATGTTGCTGCGGGTTTGGGGCAGAGACGTGATGTTGCTGTGGGTAGGGGTGGATACTGGAACAGGCTCAGAGCTCTGGGGCAGATGGGGAAGGTGCTTGGATTTTGGGGAAGAGTGCCCTGGCCAAGAGTTTGGATTGCCCTTTCGATGCAGTGTTTGCAGAGGAGTTCTTACATTGTGGCTTTTCAAGGAACGCAGCATAGGGGTTGGGACAATATAGGAGACTGGAGGTGAGGACCAGGGCCTCTTGTCAGCGTTGGTGGGAGGTCTGGGTAGATCTGTAATATTTATACTCCTCCTACAATTTACCTATGGCTCTACTGTCTTGTCAACTCTTACCTCTTCTGTCAGACACAACTTTCTGGTAGTTAATGGGGTTCTCAGGTGATTTAGGATCTAATCTTACATTCTGCTAAGACTTCCCAGGCTAAGGGCTCTAATCTTACATTCTACTAAGACTTTCCAGGATAATGCATGTGAACAGTGCCTTAAAATTGAGGGAGAGATATATGACAAAAACGGGTCTTGAGTAATGAGAAGTGTGTCAAAATGGGGAAATGGCATTATTATATAATTCTGTGGTTTTACCGAATTTATAAGTTAGTTGTTATAATACTGTGAATAACAGTAATTCAGGAGGAAGGCTTACTCCTGGCAGTGTGTTGGATTTTTGTTTCATTTGAAAGAGGTAATCAATATAAAAAATGTGCACACTGACCTATTGGGGAAACAGTTTAATCTGAATTGGTGTATTGCGAAGCGTAATATGTCTTAGTTATGAGTTACAATGAATGTTATAAGGAACCTATTTGCCTGACATATTTTTTTTTTTTTTTTTTTTTTCTGTGTGTGCGTGTGGTAAGTACATTAATGAACCCAGTTCACTGATTTGGTTGGAAGTCTCTTAAAACTGTTCATGTTCATGAGGACAGAATACTGGAGGAGGGAAGCTGGTAGGTTATATGTTCTTTGAAAGTGTGCTTCATCTAAAATAGGTTTTCTGGTTTGGTAGTGAATAGATTAAAGAGTAGTCCTGGTTAACATTTGGGTTTCCTTAATGCATGTGGTCATATCTGTATACATACCTGCTGCAGTAGCATATATTATTTCTCTCACTGATTGTGTATTTTAGGTCGTATTCTTGCCGTTCCATTTTTTCACATGGACCTTGCCATGGCATCCTGATAAACTTTCTAGATGTTCAGTGATGTGTACTTTCAGTAGTTGAATTGAGGACTTATGTATATGTATGCTTCTCTTTCTACACACCTGAATATTTGCAGGAAAGTAAGACGGATATGACAAGACAGATACTTGCAGATTGCCTAGGTGGTCTTGCCTTGAGGAAGGCAAGATAAACTGGGTGATCTTTCTGCTTTTTTTTTTCTGTGGATTGTGTGCTAAATCTGCTGAATTTGTGGGCCTTAGGCTCTGAAGGTTCTTTCTGCCTAGAGAGAATACATGGTGCAAGTCTTCATCATATAATCAAAAGTTAATATTTGGCCTAAAAATGCAGATTTGCACTGGTGTGCGTTGAAATTGCAAATAATCTAACTTTGCTAAGTGGCGCACACTGCAAATGACCGAATACTCCTTTGTGTGGCAAAAGGAACTGAAAGGTTACAGTGGCACATACACCTATAAATCCCTTGGGATTTTGCAGTTGAGACAACAGACAAAAAGAACGATAATATCATCTAGGTTAGGGGGCTTATATGCAGAAACTGTAGCATGCACCGGTTTTTAATGCATCATGAATTAATCATTAGGGTTTGTGTTTTTGGTTCTGGGTCTGCTTGTACCACTGTGTACAAGCTGCACTATGTAAAACACTTTATTCCTGTTTTTTCCTTTCAAAACTGGAAATAAAATTATAGACTCGTTTGCAAAGGTGAATTTTTTTTTATTACTCTTTATTTTAATGATAAGTAAGCAAAATTTACTTACTTTACACATTGGAAATGCTTTTTACAAGATTTTTACTTCCAGTAGAATTGATTTTCTGTGACATCTGTGTGAGATTTTCTCATGACAGCAAGCAGAGAAAAGCATATAGGGTCTGTAAAGTAGAATTATAAAGCTACACAAAGTCTAAGGGAAAGGCGAAGTCAAGTGTGTAAGCTATAAGCTCAACTGAAGGCCAATAAATTTAAAGCTGATAACATCCTTCCTGTTCATTCCACCAGGATACAATAATTTAATGCTGAGTTTTAAATAAATACAAAATAATAATTAAAAAAAAAAAGAGTTGGCCAAAGAATGTATTTCCCTAAAAATAGCTTCTCTCTCAGAAGTCACTGATATAGGCATTGAATTTAGCGTGCAGGGTTTGGTGTATTTTGGTGTATTTCTAAAGTTAAACAGTGGTGAATATGGCATAACATCATGTAAATATACACAAAATGCCTCGTGTATGGAGTGACCGCTTACAATTTATTAGTGTAGGTGGCAGTCTTTACTCTTAGGAGAGAGTGTTTCAGGCAGTGATGGATTGATGAGTTCAGTTTTTCTAGGAGATTGTCAGATATGTATCTGAAACCTGCTTTCAGGATCGTAGACAACCACAGCAAAACTTGCGAGTTGTTGCCTGATTGTTGCTGTAGTGTGGGGTTGGTGGTGAAAATGTTTGTTTGTCCTGGAACACAGCACACCTGAATTCCGTTCCGTTCAGTGCTTGAACACAATCAACTGTATTTGCACATGGTTCTGAACATGGCCTTTTATTGTAGTTGTTTTCTTTCCCTTTTTTTTTTTTTCGTTTTCCCTGTTTGGCCTAATTAAATTGTACTTGATGTATGTGTACTGGCTTCTGTTTTCCACCAATGGTTTCTCTTCCATTTGTGTATTCTGTGTAAACATAACTACATCTGTATTCCAAGGTCAAGATAGGTTTTAAGGGATATGTGCTGAAATACGCGCATGCTTGCGTAACATGACAGATGCGGTGTCCCTGGGGAAGCAGGTAATATACTGGAACAAAATATGTTACTAGAATTCTTCAGAGAGCATCACAAGAACACCTACACTTACTTGGAAACCCTTCAGAAACATGCCTGGGAAGGAGAGTCGTGTTCTGTCCATTCAGAGTAGAGTAATACTGTGTTGCTATAGGAATAAAAAATACTCGCTGAAATAAAATACTTTGCTGTATAAGGTTAAACATAGTATTGTGGTAGGATAGGTCAAAGCCACAATAAAAAGGAGGTTATTTTGTAGAAATACTGAAGCATCTGAGGTCATCATTCCCAAAAGAAGGGATTAGTAAATGTTAAAAGTTAGCTTATTTAAAAATGACAAATGAGATACGAGTACGAGCCAGTTTGTTCGTTGAAGCTCTTCCAGACATCTCATAAGTCAGTCCAGTAGTAAACTGAGAGGTTTCTAAGTGGCTGTGCTCTCTTAACTGTTTTGTGGGTTTTTTGTTTTTTTTTTTCGCTTTGGGGTTTGGGTTTTTTTCACTCCTTTTTGGAGTTCTGTCTTGATACATGGTAGGAATCTGGTCGAATACAGCAGTGGGCACACCTTCTTCTACAGTCTATACAATGTGCCTCAAAAAAACAAATTGAAGCAGCTATTGAGACCTGGTACATAGTAAGATAAAATATTTATTTTGTCTGTAACTAATTCCTTACTTGCTGAAAGAAAACTTATTTATGGCGTGCTGAAATAATCATCATGCACTGTGGTCTACTGCAGCAGTAAATATTTCTGGGCTTATTTACCCTTTCTTTGATGAAGACTAAAATGTCATTTGTGAGAGTGAAGTAATGTTAAATCACCTTTTAGGGTACATGAATTATGTTGTATCTTTGCTCCTTATCTTTGGCCTTCAGAAATTTCCATTTATTGCTGAAGATGTAGTATTACAGTGTAGTTTTTTTGTCCAAATAGGTACTGTGAAGGACTCCAGTTTAAATTTTAGTCATATTAAAGTAAGTTATTAGGGAGCTAGTTTGCCTGCTTCAAATATGCTGTTTTGTGTGGATCAGTTTAGTCCTGAAATGTAGTTTCTTTATTCTTATTAGAAATAAGGGTGCCTGGATTTGTTACTGAACCCTGTATTTTAATCCTGAAGAGATTTTTCTGAAAGGTGAAATAAGAATTTTGAAAACATTCACAGTGTGGGTGTCATTTTCCCTGAGACAAAGATCAGGGAAATTGATATTATGATAAAGTAGTCAAGGTTTTTTTGCCTGTGTAACAAACAGGTTTTGAAAAGTCTTCAAAATATCTTTTTGGTTTTTGTTTTATTATTATTATTTTGTTTTGTGTCCCCCCCCCCCTTTTTTTTAAATAAAAAAAGTTTTGGCAACAGCCTTAATGTCAACTCAGAAGGTCCCAAGTTTTGCTGGAAAAAGAGACAAATGAGTGAAACATGAAGAAGCATCTGCTGGGAATTTGCATTTCAGTCGGAAGAATGATGCATGAATGTGTTGAAATCTTGACAAAGACATGCTTTTTCTCAAATGTTCAGGGACTAATAACAACAAAGTGTGTAATGTCTGTGGTGAAAAATTATTTCTTTCATAGTTTTCTACCTTTCCTGTCCTTTTTTTAATTTCATGTCCATACATACATTACAGGGTAAGAGAAGATGGGAGATGTGGGAGAAGGAGCAACCCAATTCTGCGTGCTACACCATGCAGTGAAGTGCCTCTTTGCTGCTGAGTAAATCTTGCTTTTGTGTTCTTTGGAGGACATGCTCATTTGAAAGCAGCGTTTTGGATACAGGTTGACTTTGTGTATAAATGGTGTTTGTATTTCCTAGTTTTGCAT